GGCCTGCTGTGTTAGTCCAGCTCTGCACCTTGTTATCCTAGCTGTTTCCTGATATTTGCCTCACTAGACGTGCTCTCTGCTGCCTGTCTACTTGCTCAGGAGATCTTTACACATGCACTGAACAGCTGTGCCACCCACTTTCAACTCAACAGTCTCTCAACCTACAATTGGGCATAGAAGCAGAGGCATAGGAACAGGGAGTAGGCTATTCAGTCCACTAAGCCTGCTCTGCCATTCAATGAGATCATAGCAGACCTAATGACGAGACAGATGTGTGGGGGCAGGGGGCAGGGCTGCTGCCCCACATCTAGCTCCTCACCCATCATTAAAAAGGGACGATCTTGACTCGGACCTCTTTGACCAACTGACTTTACGTCCAAGTCCCTGCACTAGTCTTGGAGGCTGACCTTGACTGGAGAGCCTTTGGTTAAGGCATCTTGGCATAGGTGTTGTCTCAACTGAGGACTGAAGAAGCTTATCATGGTTGTCATTGAGCTAAATCAGCAAGGTAGTACAGTAAGCCTGGTATCTCCGAGGAGCAATGTGCAAAATCAAGACAATGATGTGGTAAGCATCTAGGTAGGCTCAAAGTGAGCATGTGCTAAAAAGTCAAAGAAACAACCCAGGTCCAGTGCATGACCTGGGCACATGTTGGACACCTATGGATATGGGGTGCACAGAGCTGGTGGCCATGGAGTGAATCCACATTTGGTGATCAAGATGAAGGCTCTTTGGAGCTGGTTGCAAATTCCAGTTGAGGAATTTTCAGGGTCTAGTTTGCTTCTAACAGATGGCAAGACAGAAAGCTATATTAGCAGTGAGGTTTATTTGCAAGCAATCATCTCTTAAGTGGGCAACTTGCCAGTGCCTAAGAATCTCACCTTGACACCCAGCACTGTGTGGAAACAGGCCATTTGGCCCAACATCATGCTGACACTCCCACCCACCCCATTTCCCATGGCTAAGTCACCTAACCTGTACATCCTGGAACACAATTTAGCGCAGACATGGGGAAGAATGTGCAAACTCCACACAGACAGACACCCACCTGAGACTGGAACTGAACTTGGGTCCCTGGTGCTGAGGCAGTTGTGCTAACCAGAGTCACCATGCTACCCTAATTGTTCCTGACATCAGTTTAACCTTGCTGGCCTTCTCCTGCAGTTTCACACATTTTTCATTCTCAGTGCCTGACAAATTTCTACCCAAAAAACGTGCAGATGCCATTGGTTACAATGCAACAGCTCAACTGAAAAAGGATACATTTTTCTTTTTCTATAAAAATCCCTTTCTCCTCTTTTCCCCCTGCCTCCCCAAACCTAGGATCTTTTACCTACTCCAGTCATGCTACTGGTATTACTACCATGTAACTAGTGGTTTTTGAAAGAAGTGTCTTTGGTTATTTTTGTTGCACATTTTGTTTTACACAGCCAGCAGAGACTCTAGCCCAAACATGAGGTCTAGCAGTACACTGCCTGTACCTCAACCTAGCAGTGCACCACCTACCCCAACTCGACTAGCTGGAGCGAACAGTGATATGGAAGAGGAGGAGAGGGGTGATCTCATTCAATTCTACAATAATATCTACATCAGAAGAGTCAAAGCATTTGCATTGAAATATTCCTCATCAAATGCAGAGAATGGGGTAAGATGTAGCTTGTACAAGTGGAGTTTTTAAAAAAAAAAAAAAAAAAAATCTTAGTGTGGCATTGTAGTATTTGTACTATTATGATAGCAGTCTTATCTTTGGATCAGAAGTTTGTCAATTCAAATTCCAATTCAAGGAATAATCACAAAAATCCAAGCTGACATTCCAGTGCAACAAAGAGTATAGTACATTATCAGAGATGTTAAATTGAAACTTAGCCTGACCTAGCAGGTGAACGTAAAATACCCCATGACATTAAAAGTAGAGGAAAATGTTATTCTTGGTATGCTAGCTAAAATCAAAGAAAAATAAACCCAAACTCTGACAATGGTTGTTGTCCTACATCACATCAGTATTTATCTGGCAACTGTACAATTTTCACCCAGTTCACATGCAACAGTAACATGTATCTAACTTTATGCAGAAGCAGAATATGGGAAGCATTCACATATCTGAAACTACTTAACATGAGTTTCAGCTGCTCCAGGATGTTTGTCTGCTGGGTTCTTTATTCAAAGAAATCCCTATGCAAATTCTTTGCCCACTGCTATCTGGCAATGTTTTCCATGCTAATACAAGACAGCAGATCAACAGTAAGAACACGTATCACAATTTATCCTGTTTGGCAATTTTTACTTTGTTTAAATTTTACAATGCAGTTCCCATATTGTACTAGCAGAGAGCATTGGAATATTTATAATTCACTCAGATGGTAGGGAGATTAATTTCATAAAACATCTTCATTCGCTAAATGGAATCTTAAAACTTGCACTTTGTACTAAATGAAAAGGATATGCACAGGAATTAAAGTGCTCAAAATCTTGAGCAAGACAAACAAACAGTGAAATCATCTAACAGCTATGACATTAGATTCTCATCCCAACAAAAAAAAAAGCCTCAACTCCAAATATAGAATAATACTCCTATAGTACTAGTGAACTTTTATTTAATCAGATGTCTTTATAACACTTAAAGACTGTCTTTAAACAGACACATCAATTCAGAGTTTTGCTGTATTGGAATGGATTTGCCCCCTTCCCCAGTTGAGGTCAGCTGAGGATGCCACAACAGGTTGAAGTCAAACCCCAGATTCCTGAATTAAGTTATGAACATTTCAACCACTTTTGATTCCCCACAGCATGCAGTTTGTTTAAAATTGGTGTAGGCTTTTGTGTATGCCTATTTTGTATCCCATTAAATAATGTTCCAACAGCTTATTAGGAACTGATTTTAGTAAGAATACCAAATGAAAATATGCTGTTTTACGTGTTTATATAATGTTCTGCAAATTGTAAACATTATTTTGAATTGGTTCTATTATTGCACTTCTGGCCAATTAGTCCATAATTAGTAGCCATATTAAAACCAAGTACCAATCATTTTTGAACAAAGTTAGTTTTGTAGATAAAAATTGTCTGCTTGAAAAAAGTAAATTAAAATAATTTGAACAATTGCAGGTTTAGGTTTGTACATATTACAGGGTTAGCTTGTTGTAGTTATTAGTTCAAACAGAATATTAGATGTAGTCATTATGTTGAGTAAACCCCACAAAGTCTGATCCTCCAAGACTACAGAAATGACTGAGGACTCAACAGTAACATTGACAGACAGCTGTAATTGCCATAGCAGTAATCACTTTGAATTATGGAAGATATCCCAATTCCTGTTGCACATTTTCTGAAAGTTACTTTAACACAAGATAGCATTATTGTAGTTCTATTGTAAGTAAATTGAAGATAAAGCTATAAAACGGTGTGAATTAGAGTATACCAAATATTTAAGTAAGTATTTAAAGGGTCACTAAAAAGAGGAAAAACAACTAGTGTGATACTGATGTAATTAAGTGGATGAATTTGAAGAACGTGTGTTTGTTTGTACAGAAGGAAGCTCCATCTTTATCACCCTTCCCATCTGTAAGGACAGGATCACCACGCAGGGTCTTACTCTCTCAGCACCACTCCATTTATATATCACCTCACAAGAATGGGGGCTCACTCTCACCAAGAGAAAAAATGTTTTACTGTTTTAGCAAAAGTCCATCAAAGGTAAGCTACAGTAATAAAGTTCCTAAATTAACCATGTTACACTGGTTATGTTTGATTTGTTTCAATCCTATATAGTTTGCAATCAAAAATGTTGATTTTTTTTCATGAAAGGATGTAAACAAGTTCTTAGTGTTCGTGTGCAAGTAAGATATGCCCATGAGAAATTCTGGTTCTTGCATGCAACGTGGCTTAAATTAGCACAATTTGAACTTGCCTGGAAATCCTGAAGAGGTGCACTTGTAGATTTAACAATCCAGCACTGAGCAGATATTTAAAAAAAACAAACAAACTTTCCTGGAGATGTAGGTAGAGTCACCACACCTGCCTTCAGTGAAGGCATAAAGTGGATTAGTTGGCAGCTCTTGAGCCATCTCGAACAGTTCTGAGTTAGAGCACTCAAGCTCTTGGACAACACTGGGGAAATCCAAAGTGGAGGAGAAGACCAAGAGAAGAAGGGATCTCTGTACTCAGATGGAATGTCAAAAAAGGACTCCCGATTGTCGTTTTGTCTTGCAGAAGCTGACAAAACTATGTCCAGGCTCAACTCCTAACTGTGAGCAGCTCTCCTCGAGTGCTGGACAACTTTACTATAGTAACACGTTATTCTGGACATCTAGGCAAAAAAAAAAGCAGCCCAGGAAATTTCCCAGTGCTTCAAAAGTCCTCTTCAAATTCATTTTGCTACTAAAAGTTTGAGATGCAAGCAAAACCCCAAAAGGAGGCTTTTATAAAGAGATGTATAACCAATTTCTGTTACACAGTAGATGCAAGATCGAAGCTTAGTGAGAAACAAGTAATCCTTGGGCATATTTCAGAAAACAAAAAGTAACTACTTGTCATTAGACCAAGTTAATTTAGGCTATTAAATCTGTGCCATTGTTTTGTTTCTTACACTCTAATTATTCCTTTCAGTAATCCTTGTAGCAAATATTCAACATCCTGTTAAATTTTTTTTTAAAAAATAAACTACTTATTGCACTTCAGAAAAATAATGTTATTTTAAATTCTCTATCTTCAGAGACTGAGAGACATTAACAGCATGATTAAGTCTGGTGAATCACCAACCAAGAAGCGTGGATTGTCATTGGATGAAGGCAATGAATTACCAGCCAAGAGGATCTGTCAGGAGAATCACACTGCATTGTATAGGCGTTTGCAGGATGTAGCCAATGACAGAGGATCACACTGATCCAGCATGGGGTGTCAACCTCAGTTGCTGTGAATAGTTTGCCTTCCTCAAGAATCTCAACCTGAAAAGCAAACTACAAAACATTACAGTTAAGTTTAAAGCTTCTGAAGGTTATACAGGCATTGAACACTGTAGGAAAAAAAATCAGAAACTGCAAGGGAACGAGATTCTGATGCTTTGAGAAGTTACTTGTGCTTTTCTCACTGTCTCCACCCCCCTCCCCGCCACCCCCCACAAAATCTGCCAGTTGAAGGCAGAGGGGATTTTTAGGTTAAGATTGTTGAAGCATTAAAATGTTTCTAATTGTTTTAAAAAGCTTTTAAAGCAGGCTTAGAACAGCATGCACATCATACCAAATTTAATTACAGCATTAACTTTCATGTGGAAAATTTTAACTGGGTATTTGAAAGCATTAAAAACTGTAAAAATCTGTCAAAACAAGAAAATGTTGTACTTTTGCAATACTGTGGAAGAAACTCCTAGAGCTAAGTTCATCTCCACACAGCATTCCAAAACGACGCCATGTATTATGTACACAAGTTTGTGCGCTAACATGTGTTATGCTTACTGTTATGGTGTGCACAGAATTGGCAACTGTCTTGTATTCTTCATTTAGTTTGAAAGGTTAGGATAATTAGGACGAGTAGTATGTTACTGATGCACTAAGTGCAAATACATAGGAGAGACGAAGCGTGACCATGAAACAGTAGACTAAATATTTGAAGGGAATATCCTCATAGCTACATGCTGGTTGTATTTTATCATATTGTTAAAAAAAACTTAACATTCCCTATGAAGCAATGTACTTTCATGTATTGAATATCTAAGTAAACAGGAGCAAGACTTCAGTAGAGCAGAAGGAATTATTCTAGCTTAATAGAATACATTGTGATGTTTTCACCATCAGATGGGTTGAATATACACCAAGTGAATTTAATCATTTGGAAATAGGAACAGGGTATAGGATTACAAAGAAAAAAATTGGTTTTCAACAGTGCCAATCCACATAGATCAGGAGTTCAAATCAAAACCATACCAGAGAATGTAGTTGAAACACAGTTACTGATTCAAGGTGACTTTGCATTAGGCCTGAATAGTGACAAGTAATTCAAAATAAAATCTGGACATCCAGACTTGAATGTTAATTTCAATAAGAGATAATAAAACATACCAGTTTGTATATCAGTTATGGTTTATAAAGATGATCAAAGAGACTTTTTTTAAAGTTTATCCACCCTTTCAGAAATTTTACTCACATTGCCTTGTAAAAGGAGGAAGTGTAGTTTGCTGACTGTAGTGGTGATGACAATGCTCAGAGGTTTAAAAACTCCAAAATTCTTACATAAAGCACCATTACTCAACTTGAGCAATTTGTTGACCTTACTGCAGTTCCCTGCAACATGGCTGCTATGAAATTGCCTAGGCTAGCCCACTAGCCAATATACACGATTACCAGCTCCAGCCCGGTGGCTGACAGTGCCTGTAGACTTTGCCATAGGGTATCCCGGTCACCTGGGCCATTGCTTAGCTGAAGCAGCTAGATGTAGCAGGCTGTTCATCTCATCATCACTCCCATGAACATGGACTAGACTAGAACCATTTACAAACCATAACAGACAGGAGTGGCAGAGAACATGTTTCAGCATACCTCTAAACCTGGATTGCTGCCTTCTGTCCTTTGGATGGGAATTAAACCATATCTCTTCCTATCCCACTCTGGTTATTATCCAATACACATGCATGATGTTGGGGCACAATAAATAAAAATTCTCAAGTTCACTCATGACACAGTCAACAGTCCCATCCCCACAAATCAAAAATACATCTCTTAAAACATGGTCACATAACAATTAACCTGTTCACTATTTGGAGGCAGTTTCTGACAAATCTTTCTGCACCGTTGCAAGTGAATGTGACAGAATCTGCACATAAAATGTAACAAATTTGATGGCTAATTATTTAAAAGTTATGCACACTTCAAGAATTCCACTGAATTCAAAGACAGAGCAAGCACAATTAAAAGTGTGATCACAAAGTCCATTCATCAAGCCAGAATGTGTTACCATACCCATGCATTTTGAAATTACATCAAGTGTGCTATTAGAAATAAATTCAGTTCAGGCAATTGTCAATATTTCTTCAATGTGCAATCAAACCAATGATGCCCTCTGCTGACAACAGATCAAAGATTAGAAGTAGAGATATTTGGATTCAGTTAAGCGGAAGTATTTTTAATGTTAAAGTTCTTTAGCATAGTCAATTGACAAAAGTTGTTAATTTGCCAATTAGTGTTGTACAAGAGTAGAATTTAAGTGCAGCCATCATTAACCAATGCTTCAACCAACCAGAGGCAACAATCCAGATGTTCTGCCCCAATAGCAGAAGATGAGGAATAATCAAATGATAACAAGCAAATCAAATACTTAAAATCCTGATTGAAATATCTGACAGCCAGTCCATCATTGATTAATGCAAAGAAGAGGTGAAACAATAATCACCATGCTGGAACATATGGTCTCCTTCCATTACTTTGAAATGGACATGACAAATAATGAAAGTGTGGATTTTAGCTTCCATAGCTGTTACAGTGGGAAAATCAGGAAGCCATAAGGAAAATTGTATCCAAGATCTTTTAATGCTTGGAACATAGTTTACATGAGAGATTCATATTTAAACATTTTTCAGTCAAAATATTTTAAATGAGGTTGACAAGCCTCTGAACAAAGTTTGGTTTTACCAACTGCAGCTACACAACCCATTTCCAGATCTTTGCCTATAAACGCTTCAATTTAGTTGCTAGGAAATTCAAAAATAATTCTCTTTTACAAAGTTCAAAATTTATGTTTGATCCTCAACCAAATGTAAATTTTGTTTAGTATGGAAGTAGCATGTATTCTTCTTGGGGCAGGAGAAGAAAGTTGGGAAGTGACCATGTTCACAGTGATGTACACAAAGTGACCCTTCCAAGTATACAGCGCAGGCTCTTTGGTTAAACAACCAATTTTGGGCTCATGTGACTCAATGGAACGTTTGTAACACTGGGTCAGAAGGTCCTTGTGCCAAGGTTCACCTGCCCCACTGTCATAATATCTGACCTGGTTGAAAAAAGTCTACAATCACAGCTGCATGAACAAACGTGAAACAACTTAATACACACAATGCAACCTCACTCAAAAATCAAATGAAAGTTTTGACACATGCTCTTTTCCAAACATTCTGTAAACTTGTTCAAATTAATGCAAAATATAAGTATTAAAAGTTTTTAAAATTGATGTGGTTATATATTTAGTGTGAAAGCTACAACCCATTTTCTCAGTAAAGAATTTCATAGTACATTTTAAGATTGCAAGGAGGGTTTAAAAAAAATGGAAGATGCATCATCTCTACAGTTAATTGTACTGAAATTGCTGATAACAATTGAACTTAAAATGGGAATTACTGCAAAATGACTGATCAGTCGCTTAGATAGGTATCCATCAAAATCTAAAAAAACTTGCTTCAAAAAATTGTTAAGCTGCAAAAGGTATTTAATTTATGCCAATTATAACTGGTTCACTTTAAATATGTCTACTTGTCATTGTGTTGCACCACTTTGTAAAAGTGAAAACTTGAAACATGAAATTTGTTTTCTAAACCAGATTTTGTCAGTACTGATTTATTAAAAGGGAGTTAGGTCAGAAGTAAAAATGTTAGGATTAAGCAAAAACTATACACTCAATCAAAATGGCTACAGTTTACACTTGTATTCTGGGATTTCTGCAAAAAAAGACATGGTATCTATGCATTTCTGAAACAGCAGGATAATTCTACATTTCAGTCTGTGCATCACAAAACTCATTTTAGTGTTTCACGTGACTCAGCTGCACAAGAAAACATTTTTGTTGCCCATCAACCGGCAGTATGGTGGCTCAGTGGTTGGCACCGCTGCCTCACAGCACCAGGAACACAGGTTCAATTCCTTGGATGACTGTCTGTGCGGAGTTTGCACATTCTCCCTATGTCTGCGGGGGTTTCCAGTTTCCTCCCACAGTCCAAAGATGTGCAGGCCAGGTGGATTGGCCATGCTCAAATTGCCCACAATATGCAGAGATATGTAGTTTGGGTGGGATGCTCTGAGGGTTAATGTGGACTTATTGGACTGAAAGGGCTGTTTCCACACTGTAGGGATTCTATGATCTATTTCCAGTTATAACAAAACAAAACAGTATTAAAAATTGTACAATTAGACCATGAGGTAGTTATGGGAAAAAGCGGATCGAACTGTAAAAGCAACTGAACAATCAACTTTATTAAAATAAGTACTAAATTGAATAAAAATAATTGATGCAAAACCAAAAGCTAAAAAAAGGTAGTGGTAGCTAATCAGAGGGAAAATATTTCAGGTGTAGATCAAGTCAATGAATGAGTCGAGTCTCAATTTTTCCGATGGTAACTCACCTGCTGAGCAGCTAAATATTTTCTGCTTCATTGCATGAACCTCCTGAAAAAAAGAGCATTGCATTCGCCATGACTAATTAAAGTTTAAATTATGCTTAGCTGCAAACAGGAAAACACTAAGCAGCACTTCGTAGAAAGGAAATCACCAACTGAAAATACAAAAGCGCAAAAAAGTTAAGGAAAAATCCTGGATTTGGTATTTAGAGGCTTTAAGCCTATATTCACAGATGCCGTTTTATCCACTGTAGAGATTGGAATTGCTTACCTGTACATTCAGCAAGGTGCAGTTTCCTTAGCTGACAGGCATTTTTCCACCCAATGTATCCTTACAAATGGTTGGAAAAATAGAAAGTGCATTGCTACACAACTGGATTTTGCTGCTTTAGCCACACAAGTGGTTGATCATCATCCTGCTATAGGTTGCAAATTTAAGGCAAAAAGGAAATAATGCTGCTGATTCTGGTTGAGAAATGTCCTAGATGCACGTGCATATAAAAAGTCATAAATGCTAATATTGCTAGACATTGTTGACCCAACTTTTTGGGTAAAGTCAACTAGTTCTGGGTCAAATACCCATATAAACCTTTTGCATTTAAGTCTAAATATTTTGTGATATCTGGACTTCAGTAGTGGTGTCAGAACTTTTGCCATCTGATTTTCTATTTCAACTGTAATTGGATTGTAACTGCAAGTCTCATTTTGAGGGACTCAATTATTTCACATAGTAACCCATCTCGGAGGATTTGCACATGGAATTATAATTAGGTGCCATTTCCAGGCAAAATGGAGTATGATGGCAGTGGATGATACAACCAGATGAAAAAAGGTGACTCTAGCAATGAAGGCTGCAAAAGACTAAAGGAAAGGTAAAGAGTAAAGTGGAGGTAGCAAAGTTAGAAATTGTAGCAGGGTCTGGTGAGGAGTAGGTAAAAGGGAAAGGGCAGTATCAAATAAGTAGTGGTTTTAATTTTGAGAAGATTGCAATCTTATTTAAAACAAAATTAAGAGCACTCCACAGACAAAACTACATGGTTAATTTTGCACAAGTGCAACAGTGTCAGATTTTGGGAGAAGCTACCAGTTGGCAGAGATGGTAAAATAAACAAACAAAAACAAAAACATTCAGCAGGACAAAGTAGTAAAGACACTCAACTGAAATGAAAGTGTATTCAGAAAAGCTTCATTTGCTGGACTGTCAGAAGTAGATCAGCAGGCCTGGCAGCATCTGGGAAGGAATAAACAGAGTTAACGTTTCGGGTCTGGTGACCCTTCCTCCGAACTGAGGAAAGAGCTGTTGAGGAAGGGTCACCAGACCCGAAACGTTAACCGTTTTTTCCTTCACAGATGCTGCCAGACCTGCTGAGCTTCTCCAGCAACTTTGTTTTTGTTCCTGGTTTACAGCATCCACAGTTCGTTCGGTTTTTGTCAGAAGTGGGTATTGAGAATAAATCAGGCATAGGCCAGAGTGCTCTGGGGGAGGACTTTGAAGAGTTGGGCCAAGGATTGGGGCGAGGGTAAAGAGGGAGAGAGAGAAGGAGAACGAATGCACGAACGAACGTCCTCAACAAAACTGAAACAAAAAAAGTTGTTGTAAATTAACAAAAGGAAAAAACAAAAATAAAAATAGTTACTTGAGGAGTTAACATTCCCAAATAACAAAAATGAAGTGAAGTGAAGTGAGATGAAAAAAGGATTGTATGGGAGCTGAGCCAAAGCCAAGAGATCTGCAAATGCACCTGGGAGTTAGCACACAGAACTACAGCAATCAGCATACCACAAAAAAACACACACTGGAATAATCTTTATGATGGTATTATCAATGTGTCCAAGGCTAAAGGATTACATGGGTTCTTTTAACAGGATGTGACATGACATATCAAAAGCATCCACAGACACATGGCAAATACATTCGAGTGGTTGGTACAGTTTTAACTTGTCTTTATTTTAAGGGTTAAGCCACTATGACATCAGTTTGTACGCCAGCAGCTATTTCCCCTTAAAATTCACCCCAATTTTGGTATCCAAAGCAGCATATAGTGCATAATATGCTGTTGTACTGCACAATTATAAACATGATAATGTTTAATATTGGAAGAGAAGTCTTCTTTGAATTACTTTATACATTCATACAGTATATAAAGACCACTGAAATTACAAAACTTGAGGCTCGATGTACCAAGTTGGTTATTTTGGCACAGATCAGCCTTTCCAAAATGTATGCCAGCCGAGTATTGTTACTTTCATCTCAAAATGCTAACTATAGGGTAACAAGCTATTTACAAAATTTATACACCAACATATTTACAATAGAAAACCCAAATGACTTATGAAAACTGCTAAATACTGTCACACTATGTAAGAGTTCGGAAATGAATTATTGAATGGCTAAACTCACCTTAATCTCTACAGACCAGCCCCAAAACATGAAAACATTTCTACGTCATAACAGTATTATAAAATGGTGTCATCTTTATGATATAGCATTTAATTCACTTAACCATCCCAACATAATTGATAGTTGTATTGCCAAGATTACTTGAGTATAGACAGAGGTCTTCAAAATGAAAATTTTACAAACCTTCAGTTAAAAGTTGAATTTGAATACTAGTTTAAAATGTTGTATTCTACACACAAAAAACCCAATCTTTCAGCAGTTCCAATTTTATGTATAACTTTGTTTTTACAGTCACTGCTAAAATAAGTCCAACATGTGCACCAACAGGAAACTTATATTCTAATTGACCTGGTCCATGTTTCACAGATAGAAAGTGCCGTGTGGTGGTGTTAATAGGATGCCTTAGGTTTGCACAGTATTTTCATCTTTGCTGAAAGGTTGTGTGGAACCAGGCTTTACCCAGGAAAGACCAGCCACGTGCATGCCTTTGTTCTGATCATCAATTTTCCTCTAGGCAAAAAGAAAATTATTAGAATCTGCCCTTGTGGAAAAAAAATACACCACAAATACAAAGTAGTAACTTAAGTGAGGTACAAATGCTGCAAAATAAAAATAAATACATTAAAACTAAGTTACCTTTCATGCAATGGAAATGTCCTAAAGCATTTTATACTGACTGTACAGAGGACAAAAAAAGCAGAAAAAAGTGATAAAAACCACAGTTGGAGTAAGTCTTAAAATTGCGAGAAAAACTATAGCGGGCCTGAGAGAAAATGCAGATGCACGCAAGATCGGCAACTTGCATTTGTTTAACATTACAGAAATCTGAAACTTCAGGAAGTTATAAAGCAAAATTTGCTAAGGAGGTAGGTGAACAGGTGGCCATGTTTGATGAGGGAGACTTTTAAAAAAAGTCTTGGAAAGCTGAAAGAGGTATCGAGACTTAGGAGGGAAATTCAGAGTGGAGATCTAGGCATAAAAACTGTTGAAGGTCACAACACTTTTGTTGGAACTAAGAATCTTGAAAAAAAAAAAAGGGAGAAATAAGTCCACAAAGTTAACTTTTTCTGCCCCAACCCCTGCTGTCAATACACCCTCTGAACAGCAAGGTGGGTGAAGTCATAATAGCAAAATTGCTGTTTCCCTGGTTGAAAAGATCTGAAGAGTATGCAGAATATTCAGCTGGGCAAGGAAGTAACCAGAGGTTGTGGAACAAAAAAGAAATATTCGGTACTATACAGAGAAGGGCAGGTATTGAGATCCTGCAGTCAAATTTTCACAAGCTAGTGTAGCCTGTTTATCAGTAGTGGTGGAAAGATCTTTAGGAACATGGTCAGGGGAAATAAAAATAATAAGAACTTGGAGCAATGAGACCAGCTGACTTTCATGCTCAGCCAAAGAGCTTGTGCAGAAGTTAGCTTCTTTTGCTTTTCCAATCATGAAAAACTCAAATTGAAAACACCAAGAAGTGCTCAACACAGTTCACCAAACAGCTTCCCACTGAATAACATTAACGTCAATTCACAAAATCCTAAATGTCAGAAGAGTTTGATTTGAAGTCTGCTCAAGATGCTTGCCATGGGCAGTGGTAAACCTGACTGAAAAAGTGATAGGTGGACATATACTTCAAAAAAAAAAAAAAAAGAAAAAAACACTATCGCTATTGCAGAAAGTGAGACAAATTTACCTTCGGAGTCAACATCTTCTCTCTGGCTTCTTCATGTATTGCTGGATTCCATGGTGAAAAGCTTTTGAAAAAACCAGTACATTTCCATGAGAAATTATAAGCCAGTTTACCAAAAATTCATACAAGTGTTAGAATTTCAATCTTGAAGTAGGTTTCCACACAACATCCTTGAATAGCTTTTGCCTTGAGCATCCAAGTTTAAATGTATCATGAATTGTGGTTGTGCCTTCAGTTCCCTAGATTAGGGACTGGAAGTGCCTCCTTAGAAAAATTCTCACTTTTGTCCTTCAAGGCACTCCTGAAAAAGTAAGCTTTGGCCAAACTTCATGTCATCTGACCAACTGTCAACAGTTTTATTCATTCTTGGCTTTATTATGCTGTTATGAAGTGTCTTTATACATTTCATTATGTTAAAAGGCACCATACAAGTTGTTTCAATTCATACATGGGATGATTATATTTGCCCACAAGAGGGTGTTAGTGAGCCACATTTCCAAAACTCTGCAGTTATTGTCAAGTAGGTACACTCACACTAAATTGAGCTGGTTAAATCTAGCATTTTGACCAACTGGAGAGGAATGGCAATCCGTTCCGAGACAGGACAGTGTAACATTTGCTGACTGAGGGGTTCCCATCCATTTGCTGCCTGTTATTCTATAGGTGGTAGAGATCGGTGTTTGGAAGGTTGTCACAGGTGAGTTGGTGCAGTTCATCTTGTAGATGGGTCATAGTGGTGGCAGTGTGAAGCCATGATAGAGTGGAAGATCAACCAGACAGCTCTGCCCTAGATGGCATTGAACTTGTTTTCAACTACAGCTTTCCAGGCAAGTAGACAGTATTCCATCATACTCTCAATGTTTCCCTTTATAGATAGTCGAAGAGTTCTGGGGAATCAGGAGAGTTGCTCACTGCAGAGTTCCCAGTCTCTGTCCTGATTTTGTAGCCAGTGGACATGTAGTTGGTCCAGTTATGTTTTTGGTCAGCAAACAAAAGAGGATATTTAAAAAAGGTGGATGGTGATGTTTATTGTCAAGGGGAGACAATCTTCTCTTCTTGGAAATGGTCATTGTGGCATTTGTGCCAGGGAATCAGCCTAAGCATGAAGTGTTTTCCTTGTCTTGTTGCACATAGGCATGTAACTCAAGAGTTACAACTGTGACCAGACAGTGAACACTCATTAGCTGACATGCCCATTTCTGATCTTGTATAAAAAAGGAAAGATCAGTGAAGCAGGTGAACATGGTTGGGCCAGGCACATTGCTGCAGGAACACCTACAGCACTCCAGGTATTTCAGCTGCTCAAGACCAACCCATCTACCTTTGTGCTCAGTACAACTACAGTTATTGGAAACATTTGCTTGATTCTTATTGCCTCCAATCTTCTAGGGCACCGTAATGCCATACCCCAGATCAGTCAAAGACTGTTCTGGACGTCAAGAGCAGTCTCAACCTGGAATTCTGCTTTTTCGTCCCCGTTTGGACTAAGGCAGTAATGAGGTTGAGCTGTGGACCTAGCCCTTGGACACATTTAGATGTAGGGTTATGAAATAATAATTTGGCAACCTAGTTAATTTATTAATTGATTAAAAACTAGCCCTAACCTGAAATGTCCCACTTTTTGCCTTAAAACTGGTTAAAAATTTATGTCACAGATTTAAGCTATTTGATACCAACAAAAGAAAAAAAAAAGGAATAGACAGCGTACGAGAAAAAATAAACAGCAAATTTTTGCACTAGTGAAATATTTAGTGAGCTTCAACCAGGCTATATTTACATGCCAGATATAAAAATATATTCAAGCAAAATTCTCAATTTAAATAGGTAAGAGTTCCAAATGTGATCACGAAGCCAGAAGTCAAGTCAAAGCACTCAACATTTTGAAAAGCAGTTGGACGCAGTAAACCTGATCTTGTTATGACGTTACTTCATACAAGCCGATATTAACAAAGCTCAGTGCATCTTACCTAATTGCATAAGGGTCATCCATTTTAGGTTGATCAAAAAGTCGACTGTTGCATAATTTGACACTGTCAACTACTTTGCTTTTGAACAAGTGAATATCTTTTTCATATCTGGAAAAAAAGTTTGAAAGTTCAGTTTGACAGAATGCTTTTGCTCAAACAGATAAGACCGCAGATGGAGAATTAGGACATTCAGCCTATGGAGTCTGTTCCACTGTTCAATGAGAGCCTGACTGATCAGATAACCCTCAACTCCACTTTAAAACTACCCCCCGCCCCGTAACACTTTATTCCTTTACAGAATAAAAAAATCTGCCTTTTTCAGCCTTAAATATAATTAGGCCAGCCTCAATAGCCCTCAGTGGAAAAGCATTCCACACAGATTCACTACTGCCAGAAGGAATTCCTCCTCATTGGACTTAAAAAGGTGACCCTGTCCTTAGATTATGCTTTCTGGTCCTGGAATCCCCACAAGGGACCAACGATTAGGCATCTATTTATCAGGTTCCCCAAGAATCCTAAAGTGTTTCATTAAGGTCACATTGCAGTTCAGGAAAATGACAAAGTACAAACTCAACCTATGCAATCTAAGAAAATCCCTCCATAGCCAGAATCAACCTAGTTCATCTTCTCTTGGACTGCCTCCAATGCCAGTATATTTTTCCTTAGAAAAAAGGGACCAAAAAACTATTAACAGGATTCCAAGTGTGGTCAAACTAGTTCTTTATATAGTTTTAGCAAGATTTTCCTACTTTCGGACTTCGTTTCCTTCAAGAGAAAGGCCAACACTCCATATCCCCTGCCCTATTACCTAATAAACCTATACATACATTAGCTTTGTGCAATTTGTGTACATGGATCCCCAAATCCCTCTGAGCTGCAGCTTTTTGCATGAGAGAAATACAGAAAAGTTGATAGTGTTTGCTTTTGAAAGTTACTTTATTCAGGTTTTCACAATAGCTTTGCCTTTAAAAGAATCTTCTGGGCATTACTAGAAGGAGGCAAAAATATTCTGCATGCAACAACCGGATTCAAATGAAACTGCCCTTTCCCTGGAATCCAATGTGAATTGTGCATCCACATTTACACAACTTGTTGACATAGTTGTGCAACTTATTAGAAGTTAGACATTATATCATAACGTCCCAAACAACATTAAGTCAAAATCTGTAGTGCAGGCAAATTTTGGCAATATTAAAGTTAAATTGTCAATTTCATGCCCACTAATGTTTACTAAACAATGCTCTGAAATTAAGTATTCATGATAATTAGCAATATTTTTAAGTTTACTGCAAACAATCTCTTGAAGAGTACAGTCCAATCCAAACATCTATAATTGTTACGAAAGGTGCATTTCAAACAATTCAATTATTCTTAATTATAGCTGTGAAAGTAGTTGCATAGGGTGGAATTTTTTCCTCTGAGATGGAGAAAGATGGTGAGCAAAATAACATTACTCAAGAGTCAAAAAAAGTGTCAATGCAAGTCCTCATTTCTTCGATGCAATGATCACACAGTGCCACTGCATTATGCACCCAACTTGCCTCTCCACGAAGAAGGGTCAATGGCACAAAAACTTGACTGGTAATGGATAGCAGGTACCTGGCAACATCTCATTAGCATTCACTGCAGCTTGCAGAATGGCTGTGCTGGCCAACTCACTTTAGAATCATTTCTTTTGAACAGGGTGACTTTGAAGTCAACGAGCACACTCCTCCTAGATCCTTTAACCACAACTTGACATCAGCAAACCACCAGCATCATGCCGATGTTTGGTCTCAGCCCAATTCAGCCATGACTTTTAGCATCTACTTTGGAAGGAGAGGCCCCAAACAGGGCTTGCATGTTTGAAGTAGATCAGTTGTGCCAAGGGGCAGACAACTTGGATATCTATACAGGATATTATTAACTGCACGCATGCAGCCAGGCATCTTGTGTATCTCATACTGCCTTTTAGTGCCAGGTTAGAGGTTGGCCACCACTGGTTCTAGCCTGCTTTAGTACAGAAGCAAAAGGCAGACAGTGGTGAACAGCACTGAGGAGCAGAGTGTTGGAAGGTGGACATGGCACTGTGCCATGTTAAGAGCTACAGCATGTGCAGCTTTTTGCAACGAACGCTGCATGTGCTTGGACTAAACGTCCATGTGAGAAAGCCAAAGGGAAGGAGCTTTACAGAGATAACAGTGGCCTCCAGTTAGTCCGGCAGTATTGACTCACAACCACTCAAGGGGCTAGTCAGATTACAGTGCAGAGGGTTAGCCACAGTTGATTCTTCAGGTCAAAGGAGATTACATGTAGGTCAGTCAAGGTGCTGTAAAGAAATCCATCTGGGGTGAGGGAATGCAACTATGGACATATTGACTACCCTGTCAAGTCAGTTCAGGGAGGTGAGCCAGTCAGTGTGTGTGTGTGTCTATGATGGGCCTTAGTGAATGGCAGGGTAGAGCAAACTCAGAGGGTTGGGGGTTTGAGCAGATCTGTCTTCTACTTGGGCGAGTGTAGGGCCAACAAGGGTGCAAGAATTTCCAGAGTAACAGGCATAGTCATTAGGGCGACAAGGATAGCAAACACTGGCATTTACCTGACCATTTGGAAAACTTCCCAGGATGTCCTGTACACCAAAACACTGGGACAAATTCAATACAACCAATTACACCCCAGTCCACTCAATCATTAAAGCCATAAATGGTGCTGTCAAACAGTACTTGCTTAGCAATAACCTGCTCATTAGAGCAGCATTTGGGTTCAGCCTGGGCCACTCACAGGTCCTGACCTTATCAGAGCCTTGGTTCAAACTCGGCCAGAACAGCTGAATTCCAGCGTGCAGTGAGTAAGGCTGCATTGGATTTAAACAAAAACAGGAATTGCTGGCAAAATTCAGGTCTGGCAGTAACTCCAGTTTGTTCTCCGATAACGTTTCAAGTGTGGTCACTCATCAGAACTAATAGCAGCTATATATAACTAAGCACCTCCCCCTTCAACAATCCATGTCATATTGAGTAGAGAGTCTCTACTGTTTTTGGACTCAAAATGTTGAGCTGCAGAGGTTCCAGTGTAAATGAGATGTTCTTAGAGCTTACTGGAACACTGCAGCAGGCCTGCAACAGAAATGTTGGTCTGGGAACACAGTGGTATGTTGAAGTGACATGTGGCTGAAAGCTCTTGGTCCTTTTCACAGACCGAATGTAGTGGCCTGTAAAGCTGTCAGCCAGCCTGTGTTTAGTATCTCCAATGTTGGAGGAGACCACATTGAACAGCAAATGAAGTACAGATAAATGGCTGTTTCACCTGGAAGATTTGACTGATGGCATTCGATGAGAAGGAGCGACAAATTAAATGCATAGGCTTTACACCTTCTGTAAAGATGTGTGAAGGTCCTATGGGGGTGTGGGGAGGTGTTAGGATGGAGAAGTGGACCAGAATGTTCCAGAAGGAATGGTCCCTGCAGAATACGGACAAAGGAGAGGATGGGAAGGTAATGGGAATTATATCTCCAATCGTTTGAGGCTGTTAGGTGGTAAGTAAATGAGGGCTGGGGTTCTGTGTTATCGTTGTGGGAACAAAGAGAAGTGGCGAGGGTAGAAATGCAGGAGATGGGCCAGACAAAAGGGCCTCTCAACCGCCAAGTGGGGAATCCTCCATTGATGAAAAAGAAAAAAAGGTGGATATTTTTTGAGGCACCCCTGCAGAAGGTGGTATCATCAGACCATTGCAACAGAGATAAAGAGAGACTGGGAGATCTTATAGGAAGCAGGGTAGAACATGTAGTCAAGGTAGCCACAGAGACATTGCATTTGTGGTGTACGTTGGTGGCCAGCTTATCCCAAAAACAAAGGATGGGAGGAGTTGGAGATGTACAAGGTGAAGGTGAGGGCGAGGGCAGGGTGGAAATTGGAAGTGAACTGGAAAAGTTTATCTATTTTAGAACGACAGGCATAACTGGGGCCCATGTGGGTGCCCAACTTTGAAATGAACAAAAAAGGGAGAAGAGTTAAAGAGTTGTTCAAAGGAAAGGTGAGCTTGGTCAGGTGGAAGAAAATGGTGGAGGTGGAGGAGAACAGAGTTCAGGCTTTTTTGTTTTGACAAAGGAAAAACGTGGAGAACCCCAAGATTATACTAATGGGGATGAATGTATAAAAGGAATTGTATGTCTGTGGTAAACAGGGGACAGCTGCTGCCCATGAACTGGAAATTTTGAAACTGACAAAATATCAAAAGAAGCACCCTCACTTTGAGCCAAGACTGTCACCAATCTTACCTCATCGGAGGATCTCCCCTGGCTCAATCCCCCAACACCATACAGCCTGTTTCTATGTTCACCCTAAACTCCACAAACAGGACTGCCTGGGCAGACCCTTTGTTTCTGCCTGTTCCTGCCCCAAAGAACCTACCTCAAACTGCTTTTTCTCCCCTTCAAATGCCTCCCCACTCATATCCACAATTCTTCTGATACTTAACACTGTTTATAAAAATGACAGATTCCAGCTGCCTGCTACTGCAACCTGACACCAACGTCAGTGATCTCGTTGGGAAGACTCCTTTCGACAGAAGGCAATACATTCAACTTGATTGTTAAGAACGCAAGGGCTCAGGATTCCTTCAATAATATATTCTGCAGACCGTCCAATCATGCAGTACCTGCTAAGGCCTGTCTGCCATCCCTGTGGTCAAGGCAGGGATAGATGCCAAAGTCACATTTGGGGATCAGCATCAGATATGCTGGGAACTGTCATGACTCATATGTAGTGCAGCACTCACAGTAGTCTGCTTCTGTCCAAAGGCCTACATAAGGATGATTGAAAAAAAGGAGACTGTCCCAGCAAAGTTTACCTCAAGATGTAACTCACCCTGGGCCAGAGTGGAAATAACAATGGTGAATAAGTTTTCATCTTCTTTCTACTTGAAATGAAAAAAAGCCCGGCTATAAACATTCTTTTAGAAGCAAAGTCCTAGAGAACTGTTTTAAAATTAATATTTTGTTACTTACAGTACTGCAGCTTCAGGGTTCAAGGGATTAACTGTATCAATCTTGTAAAACACTCGACGAGCATACATCAGCACCTGCCAGATATGATTATGATTCCGTCTGAAGGAAGAAGAGCATCATAGCAAAACAGCTTTAAGAAAGATTCATGCAGTCACCAAGTTCCTTACATTTGCTTCTATAAAAACCTACAGGAAGGTGGTGTGAGCAGTGGGACAGTTTTTTCTCCCCCTCCTAGATTCCTTCAGATATCTTCATGGATCGCTATGGAAAACGCATGCAAGTGTATAGCCTAGACTGATCTTTTCTGGGGGTGTGAGGATAAGAAATTGCATAGCTTTTTTTTTTGAAATAGACAACTCACTTTAGGATTTGCATTCAAATGAACATGTGCTCCTGCAGATGAAGCTGATCTTTAGCCAGTATGACTGATTTAAAAGAAACCAATACAATGCTAAATTAACCAAATTTGCTTCATTTTTCTAAAAAATAGAAAACAAACATACACTTACAGGCAAACCATAAACTACCCCATTGAAGTTCAACACGACAGATTAGTCAGCATTTCAAACCAATTATATAATTTAGACTTTTTCCATTTAAAAAGGTACTGTATAGATAAAACAGTCCCAAGGTACTTCACAGGAACATTATCAAGCAAATTTTGATACTAATCTATAGCAGACAATAGAAGGGTAATGCCCAAAATCTGTCATAGATTCACTTCTATGGAGCTGAAGCAATTCAAAGTCAGAACTGCAAGATGTCAAACAGCACATCTGGAAGGATTGAGGGATGGAGGAGATTACACAGATGTAGCAGCAGCAAGGCAGGTTAGGAATGAATTGGATTAGTTAAGTCTAGAGAGGGTGACAGCATGGAGGACGGTTTTTAAATGTACCAAAGCCATGTTAGAAAGTGGAAATATACATACAATCTTAGTGATGGCTGTGGTACTCGGATGCTCATCGCAGACTAACCTCCACTTTGTGAATGCTCTGCTTACATCCAATTCTCCTGTTGTTGGATCTACTAGCGGGTGGAAGACTGGCATATCAAACATCAAGCGCTAAAACAATGCAAAATATAAAAGATAACATCCAAATTAGTCACTTTATTTAAAAGGCTTCTGCTAAGTTAGCTGTCTTCTGCATGGAAGTTTCTTCTCTCCAAGGTTTAAGTTTCCAACTGCAATTATTAAATTTGAGGCTAGCAACTGCTGGTTTTGGAAAATTCTAAGCACAGGGAGTTAGAACAGTGATAAAATGAAAATTAATGTCGTCTTTAACTATTGTTAGTGTTGGCAGAACTGTACATTTCCAAGCATTAAATATACTGAAGGTTTCAATTCTGCACTGGCTGCTACAATCAGATAGCGTCCTGCTTTTGTTTTTGGGGTGCACGTGGGAATGTTTCACTGTTCAAATTCAGACTGGATTCGGCAGTGTTACACCAATAGTTCTCACGTTAAAAAACAGAATAGATAAGTTTTAGCAGTCAAACTTTCAACTCAGCAACTTTTAGCAGGGGCATTAGGTTTTTTTAATATTGGCAGTACTTTTTTTGGCACTGGTATATAAAAAAGTTTTTAAAAAATTCAGTTGAGATATTAAGTGAAATTTCTTGCCAATTATACATATTATAGCTTCCACAGTACCAAGCTCATTTGTAACGTTTTCATCAAATGTACATTCAAAGTTCTGGATGTGATGTTGACTCTTCTACAGCAATCAATACACCAGACCTAAAGCTAGGAGCATATAGTTGCTCCTGCATGGACGACTGCATGCAATGAGGCCCACAGCAGACTACCAAGACTGCTGTAAACTCATGGCACAGAAGTCAAGGCAGGAATGAAGTAACAGGATTTGAAATCAGTACTAACCAACTAGGCTTTGGCACAGTCCATTCCAAGCCTACAAAGCTGACAGGTGAAATACTTTTTTCCTTCCTCTGCCTCCCTGCATTACACAAGCCATTGTAGAAGGGCTCCAAGGATGTAATTAAACTCCAGACTGGCTAGATCGGACAACTGGTTTTCATGGTTTACAGCAGCAACAAACCAAGATCCACACGGCTATATTGCAAACACAAGACCAATGGCCATTCGTCTGGCGAGACTGCACCTGATGCACTGGAAAGATAGGACGAGAATTTGTCCCAAGAACTCCAAGGGAAGGGGGGCAAAGAGGGAAATACACATGTAAAATTGAATAAGTAGAGGAAGAGTTGACTCAATTCCAGATTAGTTGCAGTCTTGCTTTTGAAATTGGTATATTGCACTTAGACAAGTTAGCTCTCCTTACTTTTGCAGGTTCTGGAGTGAATTAAAATAATAGTTGATGGGAGGTGGTGAACTTTAAGTAAAACCACTTTAAAAATACACACTGCATTGTAACCTGCTACTGCATAAATTGCAGTGTGGCTTTCATTGCCTTTGTCATGGACAAAGTGTGAAAAAATGTTAAAAAGAAAATGAAGTGGAAGAGGTTCATTACTTACAGGGCAGTCACCGTCTGGGTAGTTGTCAGGAATATAAATAGTAAACTTAAATACACCATCCTGGTACAAGCCATGTCTTATAAAGATCACCCCAAACCACACTGAAAACAGAGGCAAAATAATTAGTTTCACAAAATTGCAAAGCAAAACACATGAAAAGCAAAACCAGTTAGATTATAATGAGACTTACTTAATGCAGATCCATACGAGGGTTGTACATAGACGCCAGGCAGTTTCTGCTTTACAACCAAGGTACTGCAATTTCAAGCACAAATTACTTTTTTTTAAAATCAAGATCAAAGGAATTCCATGAACTAATCTCAAGTTTACTAACCCTCCAACTCTAACACACCAGCTTACTTTAACTCAATCAGGTTTTTCCCTGAAAAGCTGGGATGTCAGGGCTACTCTGAAGATGTGGTCAAGATTTAGAATTCTGCTCAGGTGGACGATAAACAGACTTAGTATCATTGTGTCAATGAACAACTTTCTCTCAATCTTATGCTAGCTCACTTCAATGGAGTATCAGATTATAAATTCCATAGATTTCTCTCCACAGATGCAGCCAGGCCTGCTGGGGTTCTCTGGCACTTTGGCTTTTGTTTCATTTCTCTAGCATCTGCAGTTTTATTTTTTAAAAACTTGTAAGCTGGACACAGCACATTATCACACAACAATGCACTCATCTGCACACAGAAGCACAGTGAAGATACAAGATGTGCTACTTACAATTCAGCAAGAAGAGAATATTCTAGATAGAAGGGACCGTAAGAAGCATGTGTCCCATTAGTTGACTGCGTAGATGTGACAGGAGGAATGGGCTTAGTCACAGGAACAGCATTTTTTGGTATAGAAGGCAACTGTTTCTTGGCTGATAAAGAACGTGGAGGGCTGGTCTTCTGTTCTCCAGACAAACCTCTTTCTTCACTGTCTGATTTCTGTATAACAATTGTGGGAAAGCAGATTTTAAAATTCAGTGTTCTACAATCACTCTGGTGTTATTGCAAAATAACACTCATAGTATTGTAAAGAAAGCTAGCTTTGCAAATTGAAAAAACATCATAGCACAAAAGAATTAATCTTAGCCTCACATGGAGAAGGAAATACGTATAGTCCTGGAGGTCAGCATGGATGGAATAACCCCCATCTCTCTTCATTTAACTAATGGCAACACATGGAAATCTCAAAGCAGGCCATTTAAAAGAAAAATTCTTCAAAGGCAAAGAAAGGTGCTCTTCATACATTGTAATTTTCCCCATTAATCCCACTAACCAAAAGCATACTATCCACCATTCAGCACACCTGTTCAAATTTGAAAGACCAGTTTTCATAGTGAGGAAGGGAAATGAATTGCCATAGATTTTAGCCAGGTCATACACAATTAGCTGTTATCACTGTAGTGGTCAGATTTACTACCAGCATCTTACAAATTATTGCAACTTGTGGTATAGCAAAGTCATCCATTGCTAATATTTGTTTCATAAAGAGTACTTCAAATAATTCACAATTCAGTTTTAATACCTAGTAAAATGGAAGAAATTAAGTTTGAGGAAAAATTTGCACAAGAGAAATTTTTAAATGATATTTTTAAACACTAGGCCTGATTTTGCACTGCCTTATTCTCATGCAACACCTGTCATTTGAGACTATTTTACTCCACCATTTTTGTGGCAAATATTCCTCTATTACCTTTCGAGCAGAGCTTGTAGACATGCTCCAGAAAGGGTTCATTACTTGTATCAGCTTCACGACCAAGTCAACTGTACCCCTGCTTGAATCTCTCTAGTCCACTTTATATTCTGGAAAAGATTTCAACACATGAAATTTATAAAACATTGGTACGTAGGTGAAAAATTTCAGGACACAATTTGGCTTTCCCATACAACAGTTTCAAATCTAGGAATCTGAAAACAGGCTGCTTTGGAAGTCTTCTTGAATTAGGAGATGAACACTCCTTGAAGTGGACAGAACTCATTCCTGGTAACTTTATTACATTTCACTGGGTTAGCACTGAAAATCAAGCCTTGTTATTCCCAGTTGCTAAAACAGTGAAAGATTTTTAAACGTATGCAGAATTCCTCAATTTAACTGTCGTTTAGATCAATGTTGACAGAAGAGATTGGTCTGGGCGTTATGATCAACTATTTATTACAATTAGACGAGCTAGTGCTAAGACATCATAAACCATTTGCATACGACTACTATAGAGAATGCTAGCCCCTTATAAATTCCCCATTATGGGGAGACAGACAGACAAAAAAACAAACATGGGTGTTGAAAGATGGAAAGACAAGGAAAGCAGTTTTGGTCCTCCAATTCACAAGACCTGATGAGGTGATTTTTGTGCTGACAAGGATAAGGGGTCTCTGTATTCCTTCTCCAGATATGTTCACTGGTTTACAAGAGGTATAAGTGACCGGTTTACACACAATGCCTCAGACAATATTTTAGAAGTCACAGCAATTGAAAGAAAAAAATTCTCTGGACTTAGAGGCTTTTAGCATAACAAGCAGAGTTATTGAACTTACTGTCAGAGTTGTTTAGCATGGAAACAGACCCTTCGGTACAACTCATCCGTGGTGGCCAGATATCCTAAAGTAATCTGGTCCCAGCTGTCAGCATTTGGCCTATATCCCACTAACCCCTTCTTATTCATATAGCCATCCTGATATCTTTTAAATGTTGTAACTGTACCAGCCACCACCACTTCCTCCAACAGCTCATTCCATAAACACATCACCCACTGCTTGAAAAAGTTGCCCCTCAGGTCCCTTTTAAGAAAAAAATGCTCCCCTCTCGTTTTAGACTCCCCACTCTGGGGAAAGACCTTGTCTTTTTACCCTATCCATGCTCCTCATGATTTTATAAACCTCCGAGATCACCCCTCAATCTCCAACACTCCAGGGAAAATAGCCTCATCTATTTAGCTTCTCCCTACAGCTCAAACCCTCCAACCCTGGCAACATCCTTGTAAATCTTTACTGAACACTTGAGTCTCTATCGCAGCAGGGAAGCCAGAATTGCAAGCAGCATTCCAAAAGTGGCCTCAAAGGCAGAGGCAGTTGTGCAGGCTCACTGCTGGGTCAGACAGCTGTGCAGATTTCTCTGTTTCACTTCCCACAGTCATTGCATTGTGTCTCTTCCTGCTTTTTAAGAGCTGTTGTTTTGATCTTTTCCCTGCCCATTCCAAAGTTCCAAAACAATGTAATGGCTTATAAAACAGTAATTATTGCTCCTAAAATTCAAAGAAATCAGCTCTAAAAAACTGAAAATACCTCAAGAGAGCAGCTCTTACAGCCACAACTTTTTCCCCATCCTCCATCTTGGATGGAGCTGCTATGGCTTTCACCCAGCTTGTTCACAGGCCCAAGCTATTCAGGTTGCTGGGAAGCAATCACATGGTTCTTGGCAAGCAGAAGGCCTTTTTCAACAAAAACTGGATTACAACCAGCTGTTTACTGTTGGTAGAATCACTGTACACATCCTTGGTTCCAGCTCATCTACACCTTCAATTACAACTGCCTGAACTAGCAATTGTGTAAAGTGCCTACTGGGATCATCGGGCCACCTGTTTTCAAAAAACATGAAGTAATCTTTCAGCACAACTTAGCTTTAGGACAGTTCTTTTCCCATTTCAGTCCACAATTAAAAGTCAAAAGAAAAAAAGAGACATGGTCTTTACAACTTAGGAAATTGTTCATCTAAAATCAGTAGTAACATTAAGTCATGTTAGTAGTGTCTTAGCATTTGTTTAATTTGCAACTTTTTAAAGTGTACAAGTATTAGTTGGAGACTAAAATAGTTATAATTCTAAATATTTCAGAATCTGCCGAATTGTAATTTTCTGGCTATTATTAAACATTACAACATACTTCCTTTTTCTCTTGGAGGACAACTTCAATCAGATACAGCGCATCTTTAGGAAGTAATTGATTTGGGGTGAAATTTAAAGAATTTACTTCCAGAGGAGCTGTAATTGAACAGTAAAGCGAGTAGGCAAAGATTAAAAGAATACTTGCATAGATTAGCATTCTATTGCTGCTATAGTCAGTCAACCACCGGGATCAGAGAGTCTCCTTCATAATAGTTGTCCATTTTAACGTGATGGAAATGCTCTTTGCATCTCGAGAAGCAGATCAACTTGCATTTCACTGTTTTCAAATTGTTTACAAGATATCTTGGAAAGTTATGTACTAAATAACAAATAGTTACAAACAAATACAAAACAGTTTGCAAGGTCACACAAACAAATTAATGATCACATAATGTTACTTGGGAATTTGTCAAGCTAAATACTGGCCAGGACACTTCCAGAAGAAAGATGCACATTTCTTTACCCCAAAGGGCAATCTGGAACTTTAAAGTTGCATCTTGAAGATGGCACCTCTGGGCAGTGCAGTATTTCCTTAGTACCATACTCAAAAGTCAGCCGAGGTGGTGTTCAAGTTTGCAATGGGAACTTAAACCCACAACTCAGGTCAAAGTGCTACTATTGGATCAAGATCAATACAGCCTGAAAATGAGAACACTGAAGCAAGATATTCAAGGGCTCTAAGCGTGATTAGGACTTTAACTTAGCAGAGGAAAGAAAAATTGGTGGCAGTGATTAACAGAATTAGTCTGTAAAAACAGATGCACACACCAAAAACTATTGTGCTGGATCACAATGTTGTCATAGCTGCTGTAAAAATATTTTTACAAATGAAAAGAACACATCCAGAAATTAATTCAGAGATAGTAGGAACTGCAGATGCTGGAGAATCCGAGATAATAAGGTGTAGAGCTGGATGAACACAGCAGGCCAAGCAGCATCAGAGGAGCAGCAAGGCTGACGTTTCGGGCCGAGACCCTTCTTCAGAAATAAATAGGGAGAGGGGGGAGGCGGATAGAAGATGGATAGAGGAGAAGATAGGTGGAGAGGAGACAGACAGGTCAAAGAGGCAGGGATGGAGCCAGTAAAGGAGAGAGTAGATGGGAAGGTAGGGAGGAGATAGGTCAGTCCAGGGAGGACGGACAGGTCAAGGGGGCAGGATGAGATGGGGGTGGGGCTAGAAGGGTCTAGGCCTGAAACATCCAGAAATTAACATGTGTAAACAAACAATATAGTACAAGAGCAGTGCCTTAGGGCATACTAGTTTAAAAAGCCCAAATCTCATCTGATCTCAGAAGCCAAGCAGACTCCCACCTATCCCCTCCTCCCACCTCAAGCCCCACCCCCATCTCCTACCTTCTAACCTCATCCCACCCCCTTGACCTGTCTATCCTCCCTGGACTGACCTATCCCCTCCCTACTTTCCCACCTACGCTCACCTCAACTGGCTCCATCCCAGCCTCTTTGACCTGTCTGTCTCCTCTCCACCAATCTTCTCCTCTATCTGCCTCCCCCTCTCTCCCTATTTATTTCAGAACCCCCTTCCCCTCCCCCATTTCTGAAGAAAGGTCGAGGCCTGAAACGTCAGCCTTCCTGCTCGGCCTGCTGTGTTCATCCAGCTCTACACCTTGTTATCTAAGCATAGTTAGTACTTGGATGGGAGAATGCCTGGGAATACCAAATGCAGTAGCCTTTATGGAGCCCTCTTGCTGCAGCGATATTGTTCCTACCCCTAGACAAAGAGGCCTAGGTTTAAGTCCCAACTGCTTCAGAGGTGTGTAATGACGTCTCTGAACAGGTTGATTAGAGAAATAGGTTAAGTTAAAGAAAAAAAAAATAACTTGAGTTGTGAAGTCATGATACAGTCATCCTGTCTGGTCTGGCAGATTTGCTGGGGAAAAAAAATCCTCCCTGGAAGTGTGACAATCTTCAAAAAGGTTACTCAGGAAGTAAATACTTTGACAACTTCTGGCAGTTAGAAAGATTCTTTGCTGAGCCAGACAGAATTGCCAAAAATATCTCTGGTAGCTTATTAAATACCTCAATTTTCTATCTAGCATGTCTTTTTAAAACAAATTAATCTTATTTGAAAAGAAGGTGAGCTGACCCTAGAGTTAAGGCTACCAAAATAATTGAAGAGCTTCCTTTCATACAGTTTATGCTCATTTTAAACTTTAAGCGCAACTGTCACACTTAAATCAGCACTTTTTTGAAAAAGCATGATTAAAGAATTCATTCCCTGTCTATGCCAATGCTGCTGCATAGAAAAAATTTCGACTATCCAGTTATTACTTCTGTGTAAATCAGTGTAACACAGGGACCTTACAGAATGTAGTCACGCCCAAAAGGAAATGCCTTGTAAAATTGAACTTCCTGCCAGGCAATTCCCCTATATCTAAAACTCTTGAAAAAGTCAGTTTTAAAAAAATCAAGCAAGTTTGATTGTTAAATATGGGATCTAACTCCTGAATAGCTATTTACTTACCCCATAGTTACCTGACAAACGCTCCCAACACTGCATGAACTTAAACCTCCCAGACCCTGACTCAACATCTAGCCCAACACTTTCCCAGGGACATCCTCACCTCCCAATCAGACACCTGCCTCTACCCATCCTGCTAGACCTGACCTGTGACCACCCCCTAGTACTATGGGACTCAATAACTGCCCTCCCTGTCAGGCCAGATTTTCACACCCATCCCAACACTGCATCATTCACTTGGCCTCCTTACTACCTTTCCTTCTTCCCACTTAGGCCCTACTTAGTTGGCATAGTACCCCCACACCCTACTTGGCACCCTACCCACTACTGCTGCAGCACTCAAACATGCCACTTATCGGACATACCCAACTTTTGACAGTAGCTGTCAAACTGGCTGGATGGACCTTCATATTTAGAATTCAGCAATGACTGCTGTGGAAACAGGA